GTCCTTTTATCTAATGTGGCTGAGTTTTGCAGTGTCATAACTGATATTCTTTAGTTCTTCTTCCAGTTTTTGAAGCCCTGCTAAGCCTGGTAATGCTGTTCGTTTGTGCTTTGCCCAGCGTTAGTAAACTGGGAATTCTTAGCACCCTCTGCAAGCGTGTCTGATCAGCTGCCGATTTTGCCTTCGGCAATCCAATCACCGTAGAATGAGGACCTTGCTGTACTTGTGATTTCATCTTGGAGGATTTAGTCACAGCTCACCATGATGGCGAGAGGGGTTTGTGAGTGTGACCTTTCCCACTTGGTTGTGTATATTTCAGGAGCTTTCGCGGCATAGCTGAACCTACCAGAGCCTGGAGGTTCGGCTGTATGTTGTGATCGTCTTTCTTTGTTCAGGCGGTAAAATTAGCATTTCGGCGAGTGAATTAATGCACCCTGTATTATGACTAGATTTTTCACATTGTTGGGTGATGTAATGAGTCAGACGTTGCCTTAAAATCGAGGAAAGTGACAAACCAAGACAGTCGGAATCGTTAGCCCTGGCGATTGATCTAAGAAAGAGTGAAGACTCAGCCACTGCAGGAATATCCCATTCTAAAGCCTGTTTCATTTTGGCGAAATCCCTCATCGACCTCCTGCCTCTGCTTTGCCAGGGTAACTTTGGATAACTGTTTCTCGAGAGTTGACAGTGGTCTAGACCATAGCTTCGCACTTTCATTCTCCAGAGAAAGGCCTCGAGGTCTTCATTTCATGAAAGAAGTCATGCAGCCGTTCTGTGATTCGTGTATCGCCGCAGTAGTTGTAATATTGAACTTACTTGAAAATACTGGTAAACTCAGAAGTTATACCAACGATCAAGGTTCAAAGCCATGACTGTTACTCAAACTCCAAACATTGTAAGCATGATTCTGAACGAATCATCGAATGGCACTGTGAGTACGTACCAGACAAGGGAGCTCGGCCGAGTCTTGCAAGATTTCGTGGGCGAAAAGATGGCGTTATCACTTTCTATTGAGGGAGGTGATATTGCGTGGTTTGCTCTTGTTGGCGTCCTACTAGGACAATAAGATTAACAACGGACGAGTGCTAAAGATATAATGAAGTAAAGTGCTAGGAAGTAGTATGTAGCAGTGACGGTGGTATCCTAAACCCATTTTGTTGGTAGTGCTAAAGAAAGTATTTTCTGTCGATCTTTACTAGTAATTTATTGATATTCTCGAGTTCGCGTCATTTGCAGCAGACACACGATCAAACGTTTCGTTCGTTCCTCAGAAGTACAGGTTCACCACCTGTGGGGCTCGCGGAATTTCTGGCCCAACGCAGGCAATGTGTGACAAGGAATACAACGGAACCGGGACGGAAGTGAAGGTGCTTCAAAACCGAAATCGCCTTGGCATACAGGTCTGGAAAGTACCAAGCACCGGCGAGTACAGGTACTACTAAACGAACTGATTTATCGCCCTGTTAAAGTGAGATATACGTTGGAGCTCGATTGTTCAGGGTAAGAGCTGCCGGAGCGAGAGGGGGTAAAATCGTGCCTGACGGCGACCAAGAATCAGTATATCCAAGAAATGCAGGGACCGTCGTAGAAGCGACATTTGCACTGACAAAAAACGACCAGATATGGATGATTGTTGGCCAGGTTGGCTTAGGCTCCTGTACGGTACGTTTATCTGGTCCTGTTTACTGCCCGGCTTATCCTACGTTGCTCTTTGTCCAGGAGGAACATCCTACCTCGACGTGTTCCCGCGAGTCAGCAAAAAAGGATGAAGCAGAAGGAAGTTATCCATCGTACATGGTCAGTGGCGGAGGCGGTGGAACGTTTATAATTAGAGTATGT